CTTGAGCCCAGGAGTTTGAGGTTGCTGTGAGCTAGGCTGATGCCACAGCACTCTAGCCCGGGCAACAAAGTGAGACTCTGTCTCAAATAAATAAATAAATAAATACAATTTTGTTTTCCACTAATGGGTAGCAATCATGGCTTGAAAAATATTGTTATAAAAGTACCACAGAAGTAAACACAGAGATTCTCCAGTAAAAAAAGAGTCAAACACTACACTGAGGTGAATCACATTGCCTCTGTCATAGTGAAAGTCCTACTTCAGGTGGTAATAAAACAACTTGATGAGAACAAGAAAACCACACTAAGGAACATAGCCCATGTAGCTCTAAAAGAAACACAAACGACAGGGAGAAACAAAGCCATTATAAGGTGAAATAAAACTATAAACAGCAACTGCTGACATCAATATGTACACACAATGGAGATTTAGTTAAAAAATCAAAAACAAAACACCCTAAGCTGAAATAAATATCCTTCTCCAAGAAAGGCCACAGAATTTTAAAGAAGGCAGAGAGCATTAGTCCAACTCTCCCATTTTACAGACAAGGAAGCACAGATCCAGAAAGATTTTCACTGTTCTGCTCGCTATGGTGAAACACTGATGGAAGGTACTTGCTCTAGTTCCTGAAGAATGTTGCCAACACAGGCTTAAGAGTCAGTGGCTATTATCTTCTCATAACTGTCTCAGATAAAAGGGAGCCAATGGATCATCACTACTTTGTCCTTGGTCATCTTCCAGGTATACCAGCCTACAGCAGAGCTTCCCAGACCAGCTGCATCAGAGAACTTGTTAAAAATGCAAATTCTTGGGCCACACTCCCTTGACAGGTTCAGTTAAAAGGCATTCCTTGAGAAAATCCCAAAGCCATGACATATTTATTCTCTCTTAGATGAGGTAAAACTCACCTCATCAAATGACTTGTGGGGACGGATAACCATTTGGGATTCATATGATCTGACCCTGACGAATTCCGGAGACTCTGGCACGCTAGGGTGCTCCACAGCTCTGGTAAGGAGGAAAGGTAAAGCAAACTCTTAGTAGTGTCTACATATAAAACAAGAGGAGAGCTAAGGTTAAGGGGGAAGACCTAAAAGTTAGCTGGCTCTAATTTTTAAAATGAACACAACAGAGGAGTCACTAAAATGAATGAATACAGACTCGGTTCTAAAAATGAAGGGAGTTCCTTTGGTAATTTACAGCTCAGTAGGCTTTATGTTGAAGATGACAGCAATTCTTTTTAATAACCAACATTAAGGAACCCAGAGAAACTGTTTAATTAGAAGCTTGTATCTCTTCTTCATTCTCCCTAGATAGTAACTGCCCACTCATCTAGCTGGAAGGATGGGGCACTGGCTGCTAGGAAGCTGTGGGAGACTCGCCAGTGCACTGAGAACATGCAAACTCAGATTTGTGCGAGTCTGTATGAAGGGCACAGCTAAAGGAGCTCAGCAAAAGCCACAGGCAGCCATACATACCGTGACACCAACACCATCATGTTGTTTTCCTGATCCACACTATACCGCCGAACATAAACATAATCCCGTGAATACATTGGATACTAGAGAAATGGGGGGGCAGCATTAGTGTTCTGCATTACACGGACTTAATAGAAGAAAAACCAGAAGTAAAAATACTCACAGGAAAATGGGTTACCCAGTGAAGAACCTCAGAACCACTAACCACATCCCTCTCGATCACCTCCAGCTTGATCACCAGGGCGTCCCACTTTTTTCTATACTCTGTGTCCAGCTGCAGAAAGAGAAAAGGCCATGAAGACCCAAGAACATCCAAAACAAAAATGTAGAAGGCTTCCCAAATGCTTCAGCCTCTAACCCAAGGATCTTACTATGAGGAAACAGTGATCAGACATAACAGACAGTGCCAAAGTGTGAGAGACATGGTTGTGTTTACTACAGATGATTCTTTTAAAATCCACTCGTATAGGCCAATATCATTCCAAGGAGAAGTGGAAGAAAAACTATTGCAACAGATACATCTGGGGAAAATACAATATATAGTGATATAAAAGTATAA